TTTCTCCCATGAAAAGGCTTGTGGCTTTGAACTACCAACCTTCTGGTTAGCAGTCAGGGACCAAGATTCTTCCATCATGGCTAACATCTCCACAAAAGTACCCCTCATGTCAATGACAGACATCCTATTTGCAAAGAGAGAACCAAAGAGGCAAAAAACAGCCTCCCATCCAGTTGCTAAACTTGGGGCACATCTAAAAAGGAAGAGTCTCTAAATATGGAAGTCACACTTGCTCTTCAGTCAGGTCATCTCCAAAGGTAAAAAAGCACAGTGTCCTTCTCCATCTACATTTGTTTTCAGGAAGGTGTTTGATATTTCAAAGTTGTAAAATGGCCACTTTCTTTTAAGCTCTTTTTTACTTATAGCCTTGTGTATAGATGAAAATGATTAGCAAGTGAGTTTAGGGACTGTAAAAGGATGATGGGGATATGTAGAATCTTAGATAATTAAAAATACACACACATATGCCCTGGTTTGGACTTTAATGAAAACACTATAGGTCTGTGCATCAAATATTCAGAAAACAATTATGAATTAAGCAAGAGTTATGAAGAGCTTTAAACCCAGCTATGTAGATCTGATGTGTATGTGTCAACTTTATGTATCCATATTTCTATCATTTAAAAAGAATATTTACACATTTGTTTCAAGGTCTTGTGGGTCCCCAAATCATGTTATTCCATTAGGCTCAACTGATGACCTGTGATCTCATGTCATCACATACACAGGTTGCTATGAAGACCTTCATGATTTTACGATACTGAGTGGGGAGCATCAATAGACTGCTTCTAGGACCATAAATAAATAAATTTTTAGTGTGATTAAAGTTTAGATTTAGATGTTTTAATATGTTTGACAAAGCTTTTAAAAATACTTACTGCTTAAGAAGGGAGATGATGCCATCCATAAATTGATGTAAAGTTGGGCTTTTTTTTTTTTTTTTGGTTGTTTTGTTTTTTAAATCTATGGGAATCTTTTATTTTTAAAAGGCCATAGAGATTGTGTTTTGTTTGATTTTGATTTTTTATACAGTCAATAAAATAAAGCAAAAAGAAAAAAAGAGTTATTCAGTGAAAATTCCTAGTGTATTTATGATTTCCGAATAAATTTAAAGATCCCCTATACCTCTGCCTGTTTCAGTCATAGGGAAATATTCCTCATTACCTCAAGCTGTGGGTTGCTTATCATCATATTCAGCATTCCCTTGCATGAGAGGCCAGGGATTAAAAACACTGTATTTTCCAGGAAAACATCTCTTTTGATTTTGATACTGAAATTGTAATACAGTGTAGGATATATTGGTATAAAATTCCAAAGTCTGGTGATTTACCTTAAATTTCTTTTCTATCTAGTTTTTATTCTTTTCAGTGATCTTCTGTTCAGTAGAGTTGTGCTTACATAATAAAGAAATATAAAGCATTTATACCGAAAGGCAAAAACTAAGTGTCCTCGATGTGTTTACTTAATAGCTAAATATCTGGAAAAGGGAAGAAAACATAGATTTCTGTGGAGTTTAATATGCACATAATTGCAACCTTCCTGAGTCCTGAGTATATTGATTTTAATCGATTTTAATCTTTATTTGGGATAAAAGTAAGATTGGTGATTAAATCATTAAATCATGTTCAATGTATATAGAAAATAATCTTTTTTTTTTTTTGGTTGGACTCTACAATTCAAGTAACTTCTTGAATTATTTTTTTCAACTGCTAGTGTATTTACCATTTAAATTTCTAAATGAGAAATTATTTCTCTTTTCTTAACAGACCGGAAGGAAAGAAAAAGGAGATCCTCTAAACATTGCAATTGATAAGATGACCAAGAAAACACGAGATCTAAGGAGACAGGTACTGTTTTCTATTTTTGTTTTAAGTGCATAATTATTAGTAGTAGTTTCAAAGAATGTTCTTTATTTCAACGTGCCTTATTAGAACTGACTTTCAGGTTACCATTTTCTATAGTTTCTAAATATTCATATAAACCTTGTATCAGCGAGGTAAATGTTCTTATGATGTCTTGGTTGCCA